ATTACGGTACTATGCCAACTGCATCATCGAGTATCGTGACGTTTGAACTGAATGCTTTTGTAAAGAATGCGTGGCAAGGTTCGTACTCTGAATCAGTAAAACACATGTTAATTTGTTCCAACATAAACAGTCTGCAATATAAATGAAACTCCAGAATGATATAATATGACACCCCAAGCTCGTATAAAGCCAATATATTATAGTTTACGTATCTGACGCACTGTCACCTTGATGTTGAAATCAACATATTATGTTTTGTGTTCATTCCGAGCGTAGCAAGCTGATCTGCTTTTCATTTCTTGACTAATGATTCTGTAACTGTTTGTGTATTTCACTGCCCGCGCATTACCTGTCCCCTCCCCTCTGTTTATAAACTCGGTGTTGAATTGTTGACACTTCCCCAGCATCAACTAAATTGGTCAGCGAACCATGATAGAGACGTTTGTAACCTTTAAGGTCAGTGGTCCATAATAGCAGAGCTCTGATAATAGTAACAGGACACAAGTATTAAAGTTAAAGGAGGTTTTATGAAATACGATTGCAAGAAGGACAATAAATATCACATTTTAATGCCTTAAACCAGGAACCATTGCGAGACATTTATATCAATAAATGACAGTTAACAAATTAAAACAGTTGCATGTAAACTAAAATTCATTCCAATGATTTGGAGCGTTCACAATTCAGCTTCTCTTTGGAAAGATGATCATATCCTGCCCACTGACAGATTGCATAATAATCATTTATACATTTTTTAGACTTTTTCAGCCGATACTTAGAAATTGAAGTTTTAATCCGAGAATCTTTTTCTAACAGGTAGTGTATTTTTCTAATAAAAATTGAAATAAATAAATACAAAAAAATATAGTAATATATATTTATGATTCATTCCACTCTGGCATTTTACTTTTAAAACATGCAAGAAATAAATAAAGAAGTTGGGAAAGTACAAGGTGGCTAGCCAAGACAGGTATCTAACTTAATTTGTGCAACACTATATGGTGACACCTGTCTGAAAAAAATCTGGATCTGCCCCTGGTCAGGTCTAAAGAAAATAGAATAACAAAATTGAACATGGAAAAAGCATGACTAATAAAAAAGACTTAAATGTTATATAAAATGATAAACTTTGTAACAATGAAAACAATCAAAAAATTTAAATGATGCATTCTTTTTTGTATTTCAGGAACCACAGGAAGATTTGGAAGATGTGAATAAATCCAAAGATGCTGCAATTATGAATAAAAACTTGATTGAAACTGAAGATATTATATCTGTAATAAAGATTAAATACATGATCATTATATGGACTGCATGATTGCCAGACATCGTATACATGCTGTGCAGCTTTGACCCAATATGGATTCAAAAGTGTCCAAAAAGCCATTTAATCACATATAATGTTTTTGGATACACACGGGATACATGATCTCTGATAAAAAAAAAAAACTCAACATTTTCCTTGATTGAGACCGCCCTTGTAGTTGAAGCCATAGCCTCCTCACATATCCTCCCACCTAATCACTTTCCTCATGGGTTGGTGCATTTTGCAACAGTGCATGTGGCCCCCTCTATCTGAAGAAATATATCTAAATGAGGACAGTTATGAAGGATGGGGGACTTTCCAATAAAATGTCTATGAGATGTATTTGCAGAATAAAGCTGGGTAAAAGCTACCCTCAACCCCACCCTGGTCTTAACCGTCTAAGACCACTGGCGTAACTGTATGTGTATCAAATATTTGTATACCCTGTATCAGCCGTCAAGATCACTGCGGTCGGAGTCAGAATCTTTGTTGTGTCCCAAAATCTCGTACTGTGACCTACGGAAACAGATGCTTTGGGAGGGTTTCGGCTACGTTGTGGAATAGCTTACCATCTGCTGTTAGGAAGTTCAAGAGGGACATAAAAACTCACCTCTTCACGTGTGCATTTTAGAATCTTTGCAAAGACGTCATGTAAATACCACCCTTTTATTTGTTCAATTATGTGCACATTGCTTGTTAAATGTATGAAAGAGATTGCAGGCCTTTGTTGTTTGTTTTCACAATTATAACCATAACTATTATCCATATGTTGTAAAGCGCCTTAGAGTAATTTTACAAATTATATAGGGCGCTATAAAAATGCTGTATATTATTATTATTATTATAAATGCATATACATGCAATACGCCAATGTGTAGTCCCATGAACATACTCTTGTGTAACTAACATAGCAGTCTTAAACCACAAGATGCTTGAAAATCTGTATATAATATAATAACACAGCATGTAACTGTCCATGGAACTTTACCTGGCAAGTTTAGCACATGTCACATGATGTAAAATTAGCAAGCAATGGTTAAGCTTAATTGACCCTCAAATTGGAAAAATCTGGGAATTGTGATTAGCTGTTGCCCAAGCACATTTCATGATAGCACGCAATACGCTTGACTGACTAATTGTAAAATGGATTCCATGCTATACCCCTAGTTTACATACGCAAGAAAATGATATTTTGAATGTTAGAAAAATATGAACTCAAGATAACTTTCACAAGCCTACCCTATTTTTTGCATAAAAAATGATAACTGAAGTTTGATGTGATTCATGTATTACAATATTTATTTACAGTGAGATTGTTGTTTTATGACACAATGTTAATTAATATGTTTCACCCTCTACCAATTGGCACTAAGCAGATATTGCAACAGCCATATACATTTTATGTAATTATGCAGTTGGAAGTCCACTCTTTATCTATGGTAGAAGCAGAGCCAAAAGCTTCTTGAAGCAGTACTTGTGGTTGGTCCTCGGAGGGAATATACATTTCAGACTACAATGTATTGCCAATACAGACATTAGATAAGAGTAAAAATCGGTCCACATCATTTTCAGCAAGTTTAAATGGTGTTTATCCTACATTTCAACCTACTGTATTGTGTTCATTTTTCCTAAAATGTTATATATCAAGAAACCATGTGTCTGCACTACTTTCAGTACTTTGATTTGTTTAAACTATGGCAAAAACTGAACAAAGGGAAGATTTACATTTAGACCATTGAATAAGTAGAATAAAACCGGTGTCCCGAAGAATAAGTTTCTTCTTCATCGAAGACATTCGCCACTTAAATCTACGTGAAACTAAAACAAAATTAATCGAATGAAACAAGGTCAATGTATATCTAAATTAAACGACGTAAACAAGTATAAAATAAACAACTTAAGTATTGGCCAGATAACGGCACTCGCTGGCTTCTCACATCATGCTCCTACATTGACCGAGTAAAGAGGTAACGAGCAAGGTAGGTTTCTCTTTAATTGGTGTTTGTTCTCGTATATTCTTATAACGCTATACGGAGGTATTCGAGTTTTGAACATTGAATGTGTACTTACAAATCCTGCTTCATAAATCACGTAACAAGCAGAAGACGTTTGATAAAGGATTTATACATTCATTGTACATTGAACAAAGTCACATTTTTAGTAACACTGGTTTTTATTCCGCTTTAAGCCATCGTATAATTTCTATAAAGTCTTCTGTCAGTGTTATCATGTCACTTCGATGGCCGGCATCAGACTGTCAAAACGTTGCTTGACTAACGACTTTTTACCTAACTATACGATGGCCTATATCTGCTGACATTCTACACTTTAAAGTTTCATGTGTAGAATATGTACATGTACAGTTTGCCAGTTTGCTTTCTGACATTCTACACATCAAAGAGTCGTGTGTAGAATGTACACGAAACAAATGTTGGCGCCATGCTACAACTATACAAATTATTAACAGTCTAGAGATAACTATCGACGACAGTATGAACCCCATATTTGCACTGGATCCGAGCAAACAAAATTTTAATGTTGGTTAGATACGATCCGCCCCTTTACCATGACAGGAACATGCAAATTTACATATCACAACATATAACAGAGATAAACAGTCACCATGAAACAGTAACACAATAACACATATGAAATATGTTGTTGTAATGGCATATCACCCCGGTTAGCTTTTAACCGAAGGCTACTTATTGTAAACAATTCATCTTGAATGAGTTAAGTGAGGTCAAGTGGATTAATACTAAAATTCTGAATAAATGAAGTGAGAAAATCTTATGTGAAAGTTGCTCGTGTAAAGATGGCCTGGATAAACTTCTAGTGACGAAGTGTACGTCAACAAATCGGTCACTCCCACTCCAGCAGGTAGATAACTGGGGTCAAGGATGTAAAATGTGGGGTATGTGACAGAAAACTGGCTATAAATTGCTGGTATGATGGTTTTGAATACAAAGTAATATCTTGGTTACATGAAAAAGATATGTAGGTCTCATACGTTATAACGACAGTGTGATCCAATAATCATCGGATTCGAACAAAGAAGTGATGGTTGGATGCGTATAACTTAAATAGATATATGGGCAAAGAAGGAATAACAGTGCAGACGAAGACACTGTCTAATTTTTAGGACGATCCGACTCTTTATCAAGACAAGACCATGCAAATTTACATATCACAACATATAACAGAGATATGATTTGTTTACAACAGTATATTTCATATAAGTAAATATTGTTTGTTTGTTTATGTGTTGTTTTTTTTTTATTGAATTACTGTTTCGTGGTGACTGTTTTTCTCTGTTATATGTTGTGGTATGTACATTGTCTTGTTCCTGTCTTTATAAAGAAGCGGATCGCCCTGACAATGTGATGCTCATTGTTAATGTTTTACATCTTCCCATTTCTATTTGTTATTTGGAGACATGTGCCGAGGAAGATACCATCGCAAAAACCACGTAAGACGTCCAATACGTGTACGCAGTGGAATACAGCTAGCCTTTATATTCCCAGAACCTACACGTGTATATTCAATATGTTATACTCCAATGCTATGGCCTGTGAAGGAGTCTCACAATCTCTTGACAATATTGATATTTGAACTTATCTATTGCTTATGTGGAAGGATAAAAAAGCAAAAACAAAAAGTGCAATGAGCATTTCTGACGAAGTTTTGTACTTACTCTGAGTAATGATACCATAATCCGTATCCCACAGGCTTAAACTCTGAGCTGCAAATATCACAATCCGTATATCTTGATAACTTAGTGATTTCAACACGGTGAACTTTTGAATATAGTTTAAATAAATATTAAACATAGCTTCTTCTATCGATTTTTTCCATTCCGTTACTGTCCAATTTGTAAGGTGACCTGCTCAGAGGGCACATATTTCAAAACAGCTTCTAAAAATAGCAGTCCATGGTGTTTCACGGGAGACACATATATCTAAATCCCTTGATAGTAGTATCAATTCTTTGATAATGTTAGCAAGAGAGATTTGTTTGCTTTATCTGCTGTCTAAGTTTGGGCTTGTCAGTTTAGACGCTGTTATCAAAAGATTTATACCAACTTAGGTATATCTTATCCAGTAACATTCTGCAAACTGACATCAGGATTGAATGAATGCAGTAAATGAATCATGTCGACAACTTACACACAAAGTCGTCATTGTCGGTAATAATTAAACAGTAGATGTGCTGGATAGGGAAGGGGCACACAAACATGCCGTCACTCATGACAGCACGTTGTACCTAATCGTGTTGTAACAATTATGCACAAAATATGATAGTTACGACATTTTTGTACACTGTACCTCATTATATCCCCCAGGAGGGGTAGGTCTATATACTAGAATAAGCTTGTCTGTCCATCTTGTCTGTTTTTCTGTCCGTAGAAAATATTTTCCCGGACAACTGCTTCTAAAGTTATGGGCCGATTTCGATGTGACTGTACCGATATGATGACAGCCACATGATGTTGTGCAACAAGGTATTATTCTTTATTGCTTTTCTTTTTTATGGAGTTATGACCCTTTGTTGAAAACCCATTTTAACAACTTCTGCACTTCAATTAAACTTTACAAATGTGGTAATCTACATGTGTTCGGACACATGTAGACATCGCCATGATTTTACAGTATAAAGATAAAAACAAAAGTAAACACGGCACCTTTTAGTTTCCGGATTGAATCTTTTATTTTGATTATTTACTTTTATTCATTTCCTTGTCGTTTTCAATGTGAATGAATACGCTATATATGCTTAAATTATGGTGATTTATGGTTAATAAAAGAAGATTTACGATTTATATATATGTAAATTTGTGAGTGAGATCAGAGACGTATTATACGTCTCTGGTGGGATATAATATCTGTTAGACGAAACTTACACATGAACTTAAATACGTATATTGCAACTAAAATATGATCACACCTTGTTAAAGATTAGGTTAATAGGTAATAATTATTTATAACACAACATGGATGAGTTTATGTGTAGAGCGAATGCGGATTATTTTAGATATTATTAAATACTATGTAAATAATTATTATCAGTGATATTGCAATTTGTCGCCTTTTCTTTCACAATAGGAACATACATGTATATATATATATATATATATTATAAAGAAAAATTCTTAACAACGAGTCTTTAGTACTTTCATCTCTTCTAGGAGATTATTCAGACTGCTTATTTGAAGTATTGACGTCATAAACTATGACGTCACATAATAGTTCGCTATAACGACGTCGGCCATATACGTACCCGCCATAACGATATCACAGCAATATATAGAGAATAATACATGCCTTTTTCCATATCACACCCAGAATCAACCCGAGACTGCAATATCAGCACAAGGGCCGAAGGCCCTAGGGCTGATATTGGTCGAGGATTGATACTGGGTGTGATATGGAAAGAGGCGTGTTTTATTCTGTTTATTACATACTTACTAATAAAAAACACTATCTTATGATTTATTTATATTTTTGAAATATTGAAAAACGATTTTTTTCAAAAGGGGTGTGATATGGGTTTTGCGGGCTGATACGGGTTTTGGGGTATGATACGGCGAGGGCTGATATGGGTTAGAGCAATTGTGTCGTATCGCATATACAAAAAACCCGTATTTATTAGTAAGTATGCAATAGATAGAGAATAATACATGCCTTTTTCCATATCACACCCAGAATCAACCCGAGACTGCAATATCAGCACAAGGGCCGAAGGCCCGAGGGCTGATGTTGGTCGAGGATTGATACTGGGTGTGAGATGGAAAGAGGCGTGGTTTATTCTGTTTATTACATACTTTTCAACTTCTTAAAGTCCTTATTCCTCAGAAAAAAAATCATAAAATTAGTCTTTACATAAATCAGAAAGAGAAGTATTTTTGCTGTGTAATTTTAGACAATTTCCTTTTTTTTAAACAGAAATAAATATATTGTCTTATTACATACTAAAACTTACTACCTTATGATCTATTTTTCTTTTGAACTATTGAAAAACGAAAAAAAAAATCCAAAAAGGGTGTGATACGGGTTTTGCGGGCTGATACGGGTTTTGGGGTGTGATACGGTGGGGGCTGATACGGGTTTTGGGGTATGATACGGCGAGGGCTGATATGGGTTAGAGCAATTGTGTCGTATCGCATATATAAAAAAAACAACGTATTTATTAGTAAGTATGTAATAAAAATATATTAAATATAGTCTTAAAGCAAAGAGTACTATTTGTTTAGGATTTAGATATACTAGTTATACTATAACTTACAAAAGAAATGATATAATAATAATAAAAAATAAGTAAAATAAAAAAAATAAAAAACTATCTGCGTAGAGCAAACTCGGGACCATTACATTACTGATCCGTCCCACTACCGATGTTACTACATTACAAACATAACTCTTCAATAGACAAAAATAAAAATGATAAAACACATTGATCGAAACTCGTGTAGTACTCTCTACCTTAAACGTAACATGAAGTTAGAACATTATAAAATATTTATCAAACAGTACTGTTCAAGCGGGGTCTAAAAAGTCTGATGAATTTAGCTTCCTTAGCATCACGTTGTCTGTTCGTATTTGTTGTCTATGTAGATAGACAACAAATACGAACAGACAGCTTAAGATTTTTACCAGTTAGTAAACACATACATGCTTGCGCTGATGACAAATTTAAAATATTTCCTATTTATCAAATGAACAACGCAGACGTAATCAACCGTGAGGCTAAGGAAGCTGAATTCATCAGACTTCTTAGACCCCGCTTGAACAGTACTGTTTGATAAATATCTTTTAATGTTCTCATTAAGATTTATGTATATATACACATGAAATCTCCTGCTGAGGAACTAAATATGCAAAAAAAAAATGTGATGAAACCCTAATGTTGTGCATCAGTTTATTTGTTTTCCTTCTGGCCGTTTTTGATGTGTTATGGGCCCTTTCTAACGAATCGGAAATATTATTGTCCAGACAACTCCTCCAAAATGTGTAACCCAATTTCAACGAAACTTGACGCATATGCTAAGTAGCATCTGCCATTGTACATCTGGATATAACCTGCCATTATGACACTTTTGCGTGTAATGATGCTCATTCGTTTAAAAATCTTAAACTTTTTTGTTCACCTCAAAACAAAGCCGGGAGCGAGGGGTATTAGTTAGCCAGTTGCCTACAGTTCCAGATATTTTAGCTGTTATATGTACAAAAAAGTCATTACTGACAGCTTTTTGTTCCTAATGTTGTATCATATTTAGGTACAAGAAGTTGTAAGTCAAGCAACGTTTTGACAGTCTGATGTCGGTCGTCGCAGGGGCCTAATAACACAGACAGAAGGACCATATATAAATTCTACGATTGCCCAGAGTTGACTGAAATAAACAGTATTACTACAAATGTGATTTTGTTCAATAAAATGTGTACGCGATAAATTGTATCATGACAATCTACTAGGAGTAGTGCAATTTGTACGTACATTATAATTTTGCACAAATGACTATATTTTGTCTCGCGTATGGTTGTCCAGGTATACTGATGGTAAAAGGATCTAGATCAAGTATTGTCAGCTATGTGTCGCTTCGCATTCCGTGGTAGATTTCGAAAAAAATGTAATAAACAGAATATCTAACAGTTTCTTCAGTAAACCTAAATATATTTCACTAGTGTGGACAATGATTACCTAGATGTCTCATTTCGGATCGGTGTCGAATAAATACTTGTGATAAAGTATACTTATGATATTATTTCAATTTTTATTCGCTTAGAACTAGATAGACAAATCGTTCAAGCTTCAGGTTTCAATAAATACATTTTCAACAATTGAAGTTAGTCGGGTTACTGCAGTTGACTTCCAGAGTTGTCGGACTTTAGAAGTACACGCGACAAATGTCATAATTACTAAGAAAGCCTCTCAGTTATCTATATGCGAGCATTGTAGTTTTTAAAAGCATAATAGTATCGAATGAAAGTATGAAGGTTTAATAAACAGTAGGTAACCCATTCATGGGAAATCACTCGTCGTGTTCTCCCTTGGGAAAGGCTGATGTAACAAGAGTTACCTCTCCTGACACAACTACAGTCGGTGCTATAAAACGGTCCTATATATAACGCGTCAGACCAGTATTTATTAACAATCACAGAAAGAAAACCTTTCAAATCATATTCCTTAATTTTACTCGAACCCTGGTCTTTATATGTTTTGTTCAACTGTTCAAAACACATTTGTGGTAAGCTGGAAAACTATATATGGCCGGCATTTTTGCGAAATGATTTTAATTATGTCGACATTATTTCTTCATATGCATGTTCATGGGCTAACAACATGCAATGCTATCTTTATCTTCCACTCTACCTCTGACTACCGTTTAGTACCTATATATGTATAGTGCCTTACTTGGCAATACCTCACTTCTGGCTTTAATGTTGAGCGTTCGCCTAGGTGAGTTAGGCAATAGGTTCTGTCCCCAGGCCGCGACATACTAAAGTACTTAAAAGTGGTTGTTCTTATTCCCTGCTTAATGTTCAGCTTTAAAGGTAATGGCAAAAACTGCTTCACCCGTTGTCAGTATAATGTGACCGGGTGGGATGCTTTGTTGGGTGTCTTCGGCAGAGTATTTCAGGGAGATAGCACTATAAAGTCGGCATCAGATCCGCGCTATCACAAGGATACAAGTACACCTACATACCTTGTCTCCTGCACAAATACACGCATGCATGCATACACAACACACACGGAGGCACGTCCTTAAATGACCTTAGCTGTTAACAGGACGTTAAACAAAACAAAACAAAACCCAAACCAAACCATGTTATTAAGGCTTTCACCAAAATATATTTTACACAAACTAATCAATCATTTGAAT